GGACGTGTCGTGGTGCGCGCGCGAGCGGAGGCTTTCCCTGCGCCGACGCGCTGTGTGGCATCCGCCCGGGACCGCCTGGTTGCCCCGGCCCGCTGGGCTCAGGTCACCTGTGAGATGCGGTGGGTTTTATTCACGTCAAGTTAGCCGTGACAGGAGATGAAGCCCACGGAGCAGAAGGCCCTGTTTCTCATTTCTGGTTTCCTGAGCTTTCCTGTAACCCATATGTTTCACTTTTAAAAATAGAAATATAATTCTCTGAGTTGTATGTGGCAGGAGATAATATCTCCTTCAAGAAATAAACTCTCCTTCCTTTGGTAGAGAAAAAACAAACCAACCAGCTGAAGAGCAGGCTTTAATCCCTCTTCACGACATCTTAGCTCTCCCTGTGGAGAGGACAGGGCACTTCAGGCTTTAATTGCAGCAAAGGAGACTTAGGTTGGACATAACAAAAACTTTCTAAGCGTGCAGGGAGTTAAACACTGGAACAGATTGCTTGGGGAGATAGCGGCAGCCCCGTTGCTGGGAGGGTTTATAAAGAAGATAAGCAGAGGTCTGCCAGAAGCGCTCGGGGTACAGCTGATGCCCTCCCGGAGCAGGGGATCGCTCACTGACCCCCCGAAGCCTCCGCCAGCCCTGGCTTCTGCGTTTCCATGGCCAGTGCTAAAGATCCAGTGTCCTTTCCTGCTATAAGTGGGACCTCTTTTTCGCCCTGGACACCTGCCACTTCCCTCCTCCTTGCGAAGCCTCGGTGCCAGCACCATTAGTGAGAGTTGTTATTGAAGAAAAAATACGGGCTCCAACATTCATTACTGCCAGTAAATGCTGTCGGTGGAAGGCTGTTTGACACCGTAGCGATTGCAGCCTCCTAAATCATGCGGCAAGGCCTCTGCTGGAGGGATGTATCTGGTTTATGTTCCCCTGGTCTCATTTGCAGCTCTGCTAACGTGTGCTGGGATCTCGTCACACCTCAGACCCCAGAGCAGCATCGGGACCGCCTGCTAGAGAAGATACATGTCACATGCCGGTGGTCGACTGCAGGTGATTTTTTCCACTGGTCAGCAATGAAATCCTACCTTGAAGAGAGGACACAGGGCTGCTGATTAAAATCCTATTGGTTCTACTAAAGAGAAAGCAGATTTCACAATGATCTGCTACATGTTACTCCGGCCCCTTGCTTAACTATTCCTGGCTGTTCCCTCCAATTGGATGTGAGAGATGCTCCTGATTTTTGTTTGAAAAGGCTACCTACTATCGTTTTCGGCCAGTGGTTTTCAACCTTTTGCCTGCTGGTGGTCACCTGGAAACTTTCCAGTGGATGTGTGAGTCCACATGGAGCAATTTGAAACACCCACTTGTTGCCTTTTACGCATCTTTTAGGAGTGGTTCTGGGGTCCCCAGTGCCCTACAGGTCAAAGCCTGAAAACCCAGGTGGTATTTGGATTGTTAAGGCCAAGTGTGTTATCTAAAGCCAGCTGCTGCATGCACTTGGGCTAACGTGCCAGTGCAGGTTCAGGTGTGCAAAACCTGGGCAGATCCTCTCCAGACACAAAGGAGGAAGATAGGTATAAGTTTGGGGCCTTTGGCTGTTTGGAGACCGGGGGCATCTCCACCCGCTCGGTGCAGTTGGCTCTCAGCCCTTCCTCGCCTTGGTTTCTGCTAGTTCTGACCTGGTTTGGTCATCTCCTGACCCCCCAAAAGAAATCTTCACCTTGCAGTGTCTTGTGATAGTCTGCCCTCAGCTTTTCCCTTGTCGTGACCTTTTCTGGTTGCACAGGGAGTTAAAGAGTCTCGGGCACATGTTTTCCTGGAGAAGGGGAAGGCCGCAACACCGTAGTGTTAGAAGAGGGTCTCATTCAGCAATGGGCATAGTGAAACTGCTGCTGATCACTCCGACATGAGCTTGGCACCTCGCTGGTTTCTTCTCTTGGGGTTTGCATTGGGCCACCCCACATGCAGGTCCCAGGTCCCTGCGGAGTAAGTACTTCTCAGAAGGAACAAGGGTGGCAGGATCAATCTCACAATGAGAAACCCTGCAATAACGAAGCCAATCATAACAAACCCAGGAATGTGCAGGCAGTAACGTACCCAGCAGCGGCTTTTGGATGGCGTCATAGGCTTTATTAAAAAAAATACTGAAACCAGCATGCTGTGCAGCCTCTGTGATCATGTATTTCTTTTTTCTGCGTGCAGTGAGCACGAGGGCATTATCTGGATGAAATGGTGTCCAGCAGGTTTTGTGCAGTGCGATCCCTTTGGATTCTGATGGAAATTTCACACTGAACCCACCGTGAGGCTCACTCAGTTCAACCTTTGGCTTTCCACTGACTTTCCTGCTCTTGAATAAGGTCATGCAGGATCTGCAGGATCAGACCCAGCAAGATAATGTACATTATCATTGATTTCCAGCAAGGAGTTGCATTATGAGATTAAATGTCTCATTTTTATTGCATGGGGAGGCAGAAAGAAAGCAAGAGCTCCGAAAATAAAATAGAAGTCTAAGTGATGTATTTTTGTTGCAAGGTGCTTGTGACTGGGAACAAATGTTCCTTGTTTATTCGGACATTTTAGGGTGAACTTTGAGAAACATCCTACTTCCTGGAGGCTGGTAAACAAAGTCAGACCTCACCTATGTTTAAAGCAGTGTCCAATTAATGTGTCTAACTGGCCCACATCTAATAATTCTAGGCTGGTGGGAAAACTATTAAAAAGCTTTTCTGGTTTTAATGAACTGAAAGAAGCATCTGCCCTGCCCTGGCGGCATCTGCCGTCCCCGACTCAAGGATGCCCACGGGGGCCGGCGGCAGCTCGTGGGCT